TCAGCCCTGGGAAGGAGGCAATGGCAAACCACTTCCAAAAAACCTTGCCAAGAACCCTGCAGGGACTAGTTCAGGCAGTCACCAGGAGTCAAGACTGACTCAGGAAAGAAAAAAAAAAAACAAACTTTCTGAAGGCCCATTCAAGCTACCCAGATCTTAATATATACCAAAGATGAGCTCATGTCAAGCATGTTCCTATTTGGCGCTAATGTTTAGGTGTGTATGAATTAATAGTGGTTACTCAGAAGAGTATTTTATACATGTTCAAAACTCACATCTGTTTGTTTATTAAAATATCACATAAAATCAATTTATGAGAATAAGTTATTTTATTAAATTGACTCCACGTTAGCATAAAGCCATTCAGTTAAGCTTAGCTTTTTTTTTTTTTTTTTGGTGAGGATGGAATATATTCTATAATAAAATGCAATATATCCTATAATAAAATGTTTCTTTCACATTCTATTTCACATTCTCTATGTAGATGTTCTAATAGAAAATATGATGCCTAGGGTATTGTTGTACCTATGAACGCTGTATCTTAGCTGTAACTGTGGTTCACAAATCTTCATTTAATTGAACTAATGCCCAGGTAGCTGGAAGAGCTTCAGAGCTGAAATACTCTTTGCTGGCTGCCTGCCACTGATTGGCTTTGGATGCCACAGACATAGTGACAGTCTTAAGAAATAAAGGTAATGAGAGGTTGGTGGCTAGCCCTGCACTCAGTGGAGTTCCAAGTTTCGGAGAAGGGAGGCAGGCAGGCAGGCAGGCAGGCAGGCAGGCAGGCAGGCAGGCCATGGTTTGGCCTGAGCAAAAGTAGATTTAGGAAGAAGCAGAGGCACTGACTAATGGAGATCCAGCTAAGGAAGAGTAGGAAGTAGAGAGACCTGGGTTGCCTTGGGAATGCCCAGGGAAACTGGGCACATGAGGAAAGCAATGGGAAGAGTTAGAAGACTTGGAGCAGTGACAGAGTGCAAGAGAGGAAGAATAGAAGAAGTCTATATAGGCTTTGGGATGTCTACTTTGTGTGTGAGAGAAGGGAAGAGAAAATGTGTATAAGGTGAACATGAAGAAATAAATGATTAAGTCTAATGTGGGTAGAACTTGTGAACAGGGATGTGCTGACCACAATTGGGACTGACAATTTGGCTGTTAAGTGAAGTGGTCACTAAGTGAAACCATGACTGGGCTTATGATCTTACTTCAGCTTCCCTTTATTTTACAAACCTGCAAAGTCATAAATGTAAGGATTGGTTATAAAGTTACATTTTCATCACCGTTGTAACTCTGTACCAGAATGTGAGAATGACCTTGGAAGATGGGGGGAAGAGATGCTGCCTAGGGAACGATCATACGAAAGAAGGAAGATTCTGCAACTGAGTAACAGGCAGAGAAAGAATTTAGAAAGGACCCGCTCTAACTACTCAGGCAGTAAATAGGGAAGGTGGGAGGTTTGTGCTTTCAGACTTGCAAGATTTTCTTAATGTAGCCTAACAATAAAGCAGAAGTAGCTCATCTGGTTGTGTTTCCTGTCTGGTTTACCAGGGAGGGCTGACAAACTATGAACAGTCACTAAACAAGACAGTTGCTAAACCAGGTCTACCTGTTTGGAACTTTGGGTTCAAAGAAGTGAATTTGTGCTTCAGGGCATGCCTAATAGCATTGCAAGCCTGCTTTCTGTGAAATGGATTTCTGTTTGAGTAAAAAATGGTGATCCGCCACATCTAGAATGTGCCAGATTGCTGTAGGACAATATATGGCCTTGCTGAGATATTGGTGTCAAGCCATGAAGGACTTCATAGTTCAAAATGAGCTTCTGGAGTCAGGCGTGGTAGACAATGGTAGATGCCCACTATTTTAGCCTTGCTTGTTTGGCATCAAAAGAAGTCTTGCAGCATTCGGAATTGGTGAGGTCCCCTAAAGTCATCAAATTAACCCATAAAACCTCTCTTACCCCTGTCTATTCATTGGCTGATTGAACTACATTTTCATTTTTAAGTAAAGCTCTTCCAAAGATTTGAGGCAAGTAACTACAAGCTGAAACCATTATCATAAAACAAGAAAAGAAAAAGGTACTAACAGATAAAAATGCTAAAACTTTAATTCTATACAAGTCAGAAAACACCTCCCCTCTTCATCTTTCCAAAATATTTCCATTGTTTCTAAAGCAGCCTAAACTTTGATGAATTCCCAATACAGTTAAATCCATAGCCATATGGCAACCAGAAAGAAATCTTTTTTATGTATCTGAAGTGTATTAATAAAACCCAAAGGGGATTTTAAAAAATGGATTATATGCCATCAAGCCAGCATAGACTGTTAGCAGCTGTGGAGTCCTTGGGGTTCTCTGAGCTTGGTTCTTTTCTTGCAAACATTTCATTACCCGGCTAGGTAACATCTTCAGTGCTAAAATGGAGTGGGGGTTGCTCTCTG